GAATGAATGAAAGCTTGAGTGACTAAGCAGCCTCTCAGAGGTGAGGCTTATATATGGGGTAACTAGATAGTGGTACTTTGAGCTTCAAAAAGCTGACTGAATAGAAAAAAGAAAGAAAAAGCAGACGAAATAGGTGTCAGTAAAGGGTAATGAGACTTGGGGAGGCAGCTGGGGAATTCAGAGTCAGCATCAAGGGTTCCCACATTCTCCAAGAGTGTGTTGGGTGAGAAGGGATGGGAGAGAGCTGTGTCGGCTGGTGCCACATCCCCACTTCAGGTCCGTGAGGACCTGGCCCCAAATGGTCAAAACCTCCTGCCAGGGTCTTGCTCCAGAGAGACTCCTCTGTTCTCAGCCCGTCAGAACAAGCGATCGAGCCCTTTCTGCCCCTTTCTCTGCTGTCCTGATCTCCCGGAGCCCCTTCCCCACTGTAGGAAGCTCTCCAGAGTCCTGTGCACAGTCCCCTTGGCCAGTGGGGTTCCAGATATTTACCAGGAGTGACCACACAGACATGGAGTTAGTCATTCTCTGGGAAGGGCAGCAGCTCACAGAACCGCAGGAGCTTCCAGCCTCTTCCAGGGACTGGCTGGTTGGAGGGAAGGCCATGTAGCCCTATGAGGTGGATGGTAGCCCGGGACTGGGCAGGTTGACCCCACAGCCAACTCCCTCTCTGCTTAGGATGCAGCTGAGGCTGGAGCCAGGTCTGGTTATCGGGGTCGCCGCTCCCCACACACCCCCCACGAACGCTTTGAGGGGCTCACAGTGCTCAAGGCCGCCCAGGTGAGAGGAGACACAGTGCTGGAGAAGAGGGCCGGCCTCTCCTGCCTGCGGAGGGCTCTCCTGGGACTCAGAGGAGTTCTCGACCCAGGACTGATGGAGGGGTTTCCCCACAGAGGGACCCGGGTTGTTGTCCCAGAGACAATGGAAAGAGTGGTCTGGGCTGATGGGTGGGTTGATGGGGCAGCTGGCTATTGAGTCCCAAACCATGGGTGGAGGGCAGTGGAGGTGGGGTAGGGGCTGGGACCAGCCTTACCACACCTCCCCTTCCCCACCCTTTATTCCCTGCCGCAGCTGGCCCGGGCTGGGGCGGTGGGCAGTCAGGGTGCCCAGCTGCTCCTGGAGGTGAGCGAGCGGGTGCGGAGCCTAACCCAGGCCTACTTCTCCCCCGACCGGCCCCTGCACCTCTCCTTCACCCACCTGGTGTGCCGGAGCGCCATAGAAGGTAACCGCCAGGCCCCCCCCAATCTCAGGGCCCCTCGGGGCCCTGCACACCCTCAGCACCCCCGCTATGGGTTTCCATCTTCACTGCAGGAGGACTGACTCCCCTGCCCAGCGGGGGCTCAGCTGTGACCCTGGATCTACAGGGTGGGTGTGGGTGGGCGCCCACCAGGCCCTTGGCTTCCCAGGGGAGCAGGCACAGCGCATGGACCTGAGCCACCCAGTGCACGCCGACAACTGTGTCCTGGATCCCGACACCGGGGAATGCTGGCGGGAACCCCCAGCCTACACCTACCGAGACTACAGGTGGGCGGCCCTCCAGGGGTCGGGTGGGGCGCCTGGCTGGGGTCTCACTTCCTCCTGTCTTCCTCTCTCCCCAGTGGACTCCTCTACCTCAACGATGACTTCCAGGGCGGGGATCTGTTCTTCACAGAGCCCAACGCCCTCACAGTCACGGTAACTGGAGCGGGTGGGGTGGGGGGCACAGTAGGGAGCCCAGCCATAGGCTGGGGATTCAAAACAGAGGGTGCCCAGAGGCAAATGCAAGGAAATGGTTGGGGCCACCTTTGTTGTTGTTGTTTAGTCGCTATGTTGTGTCCGACTCTTTGTGACCCCAAGGACTGCAGCAGACCAGGTTTCCCTGTTCTCCACTACCTCCTGGGATTTGCTTAAACTTACGTTCATTGAGTCAACCCTCTCCTTTCTGGCTTCCGCAGCACCTCCCCACTCTTGTCTGTTCAGGGGCTCTCCTAGCCCCTCCCAGGAGACCTCCAAGGGGCCCCTCCAGGCCCTGCCTTCAGTGATCACCTCACTTCTTATAGGAGGGCAGGTGAGGGACTTCCCTGGTTGGTCTTGTGGCTGAGACTCTGTGCTCCCAATGCAGGAGGCCCAGGTTTGATCCCTGGTTGGGGAACTAGATTCTGCATGCTGCAACTGAAAAATCCCATGTGCTGTTACTAAAACCCGGTACAGCCAAATAAATCAATAATAAGTAAAGTAGATATTTTAAAAACTCAAAAATAAATAAATAAAGGAGGGTGACTGAAGCACAGGACCCCAAGCCTCTACTCCAGGTAGAAGCTCAGGTCTGGGACCAGCAGAAGGACTGGAGCAGTGATTTTTCATTGTGCATTGCTCTGCCTTATCCAGTTAGCTCCTTCTCTGCTCACCACCAGCAGCTCTCTGTCTTCCAAGCCCCCTCTGGGGTGGAAAATGTCCCCAAGACCCTGATGCCCAGAACCCAGAATCTGGTTGGGCAGAGGTGAGCAGGAGAAGCGGGGCACGGGGGCGGATAGGGTCTCTTCTCCTTTTGGCTCCAACTCTCCAGCCTCCAGTCTGGCATTCAGTGCTCCCAAGTGGAGGCCTGGTTCCCACTTGCCCCAAGATCGTCCCTGAACTAAGGAGGGGACGCGGTGGGCGAGAGAGCTGCCCCGGTCTGAGCCCCCTCCTGGTCCTGCTCCAGGGAGTCAGGGTCAAGGTCTCTGAAGCCCTGTCCCTGGAGCTGAATCTGCCATCCGCCCCCTCACCCCAGGCACAGGTTCGTCCTCGCTGCGGCCGCCTCGTGGCCTTCAGCTCGGGCGTGGAGAATCCCCACGGCGTGTGGGCCGTGACACGGGGGCGGCGCTGTGCCCTGGCGCTGTGGCACACCTGGGCCCCTGAGCACCGGGAGCAGGTGAGCAGGCGGCGGGGCGGGGCCGGGTGAGGGGCGGGCACGCTGGCGGGCGAGGGGCGGGGCTGAGATGACCCGGGAGAGTCCCGGGGCAGGGCGGATGCTGGGGGTGCGGGCGGTCAGCCTCGACCCTCCTCCTCACCCCCCCAGGAGTGGACGGAAGCCAAAGAGCTGCTGCGGGGGCCGGAGAAGGATGAAGAAGACGTGGCCAGCAGGGACCCCGGCCCAGAACCCCCCAATCGCAGGCTCCCGCGGCTCCAGGACAAGGCTGGGAAGCCGCCTCGCATTCGAGAGGAGTTGTGAGGGGGCCGGCCCAGCTCCTCGGGGATATGGCCACTTGACTTGTGGAGGGTCTGCCTTGATGCCGGGGACCCCCGGGAAGCCCCTGTGTGACCGCCGCAGAACAGCGAGCCCTCGGTCCCTGTACCCTGCCATCTTGGGGATCACCAGGGCCCCGCAACCCTGGACTCGGAGGACCCTGCACAGACTTAGCCTGGGGACTGGCCTGGGCCCAGCCAGGATGGACCTCCAGGCCTAGGACAGACAGAAGACGGGCAAGGCCGAAGTGGAAAGAACTGGCAGGGGGTAGGGCCCCAGCAGGCGCTGTAAATGAGGAAGATGAGAGGGAGGGTCGCCCCCCCCTGCCCTCCCCAGCCTGTCAATAAAGATCCTGACCATCCCTCAGCTGGGGCCAGTCAAGTGTATCGTGGTTTCCATGGTGACCGGAGGTGGGAGAGGCTGTGGCTGGCCTGGGAGGAGACAGGTATCCTGGGCCTCCCGGAGATGGGCCCCTCCAACTCGTGATTTGTCAGGGAAATCTCAACCACCTGCCTCCCTCATGCAAATGAACCCTGGCCCCTGACAGCTGCTCCCTGGGCCTCTTACTCTAAGCCAGCGTCTTCCCTCTCTCAGCTTGGCCGAGACTTAGGGCAGCCTGATCCCTCTGCTTCTTGCCTTCACGGCCCCAGCAGAGCCCGGCGAGTTATGAGGGCCCAATACCAGATGCAAGCAGCGGATGGGCTTGTTCTCCACTTCCATCCTCTCTGCACCCAAAGCTGGGCCAGGCCCGTCCATCCTCCTCTTTGGATCTCCTGGACCTCCTCCCAACCCCCCAGGATCAGCCCCCGGGGGCAGCTGGTTGGGGTTTGTCCTGAAGAAGGATTATCCAGATCAGTGCCTTCTAATCTCAGCTCCTGCCTGTACCTCCCCATGGTCACCACAACCCTCTCCCCCACCACCCTGAGCTTGGGAGCACAACTCGGGGTATTGACAATGGGCCATCTCTCCCACTCGCTCTCTGGCTCCAGGGCTAGTTTCTAGGTAGTCCCTGACAGCCAAGATCATCACCATGGGATGGGTAGCCAGGCCTGGGGGGGACCCTGGAGGGTGGTTGGGCTGCTCCTTTGCACCCTCCCAGACCCAACCCTTAATCCTCACAGCTTTGCTCTAATCCCGTGGGGCCTGATGCTCTGCTCTCTGCCTGGAGAGGGACTGGCCAGGGAAGCAGCCCACCCCTCCTCCCTCCAGGGCTTGTTGCAGGTGCGGGGGGGGGGGCACTGTGCCCCACTGTAGCCCCACACTCCTGCTCCCACCCTCCCTGGGCTGGGCCTAGGTCCCTCTACAAGCTGCACACCTCCCTCCCCGTCCTCTGCTTCCCCCACAACCCGCCAGCTGATTTCATTTGCCTGACAGTCGTCATTGGCCCTACCCTTCGCTGTCTGCACCCCCCCGCACCCCCCCAGGCGGGGCCAGGCCAGGCCAGCTCCTCTGGCAGCAGAGCCGGGGCAGGTGACGGGCGGGTGTCGCGGCTGAGGGAGCCAGGAGGCGCCTGGGGACCAGAGCTGGAAGCCTAAAGTCAGAGCCCAAGTAAGAGGGGCTGGCCTGGCTCTGCCCTCTGGGGCTGGGGGCTGCGGGGGGCGCGGGGGTGGCCCGGGACTCCAGATGTGGAGGGGCTGGCAGGGGAGGCAGTGCAGACCACCCAGTCCTGGCCCGATGTGGGGAGGGGGCTCCAGGCCCCCATGGTGTGGGATGTGAGGAACAGAAATGTGGGGGTCCCCCTACACACACCCTGTGTCCCCAGCAGGAGACTAAAGAGCCACCCCTTAAGCCGTCCACCATGGGGGAGATGGAGCAGTTGCGGCAGGAAGCGGAGCAGCTCAAGAAGCAGATCGCAGTAACCCCAGAACCCTTCCTCCCACCAGGGGACATTGGAAAACCAGGAACAGGGCCCATGCGGGAGTGTGGCCCCCAGGGGAAGGGCTGGCTTCACCCTGACTGACATTTCAGAGACCCCTGACTTGGAAGCGGCCAGAGACTTCCTAAACTTGGAGCTCGTATTTGAGCTGTGCCCCACCCCACCCCTCAAAACCCTAGAGCCCCAAACCCACCCACCTAGACACCCGCACACACACCCTGCCCCTACCCACACCCGTGTCTGCTTCCCCCCCCAGGATGCCAGGAAAGCCTGTGCTGACACTACCCTGGGAGAGGTGAGCCCCCGCCACCCCCCGACAGGGCCAGAAGGGAGGGATGGAGGAGAGGGGATGGTGTGGGAGCCCCCTGACCAGCCACAGCCTGGCACCCAATCTCCAGTACAGCGTGTCCTTGGAATGAGGAACGACATGAATTAATTCATTCAACATTTTGTGAGGTCTGCTATGGGCTAGGCACCTAGTCGGAGACTAGGGAGGCAGACACTGTCCTCATCCACAAAACAAGAGCGCCAACCCCTCCTGGCTGGCTGGCCAGGATGAAGAGGACTAGGGCTGTTAAACCAGAAGCCCTTGGAGACTAGTTGTTGTTTAGTTGCTCAATCCTGTTCTGACTCTTTTTCGACCCCAAGGACTGTAGCCCGCCAGGCTCCTCTGTCCATGGGACTCTCCAAGCAAGAATACTGGAGTGGGTTGCCATTTCCTTCTCCAGGGGATCTTCCCAATCCAGGGATTGAACCTGCATCTCCTCTGTGTGCAGGTGGATTATTTACCACTGAGCCACCTGGAAAGCCCAGACAAGACTCTAATTACAAGCTGGCTGATACTGTACTTTTTCAGTCCTGGATGCATTTTGTTTCATATTGTGACATCCTGGAAATTACAGTTATAATCAGCAGTACTTTTTCTTTCTTAGTGATTCATAAAAGAATGGTGCTTCTTGGAGCCAGTGCCATCTTAGATTGAATTAAATGTTAATAATAAGAGTAAACATTTACTGAACATGAGCCAGGCACTGGGTTGCTTAAATACATAATTTCATTTAATTTTCCTGACAACTCCATAAGTCTGGTGCTAAAAACTTCATTTTACAGATGGAAAAGGGGGCTCAGAGAGGTTAAATAATTTGCCTGAGATAACAAAGCAAATAAATGGCAAGTCAGGTCTTTTGACTCTGGAGCCCCAGTCTAATGTCTAGAAGGTCAAAGGAGTCTCAGGGGCATAGGACCCCAAGTTTCAGGAGGAGGCCGTTCAGTGCCATGGCGCTATTCTGGATACCCACTTAGTGCTGGCCGAGCAGCAGCGGTGGGTGAAGGCAGGCTCCTAGCGGCTGGGTTCAACCAAGCGTGTGCATATTGTCCTAAGTCCATGTGTAGTGGACTCACATTGACAGCTTGAATTGGTCAAAGTGGGGGTGTTTACATGATGGAACCCCCCTTCCCCTTCATCTCGACCCCTGGCCTACATAGGAGAGGTGGTGGTTAAACCCTTAGCCATGTACCCTGTCCTTGCCCATGTCTCTCTCTACACCCATCTAAGCCATGCCTGGGCTGACTTCTCAGCCCTCAGTTGGGCTGGAGGCCCGACTTCGAGCTGGGCATGCTACAGAAGCTCACACACAATCCTGGCTCAGACGCTGACGTGTAGGCATGCGCCCTGCTCACCCTGATTTATTTTTATCTGTGCTGTGTGATGTGTAGGATCCTAGTTCCCCAACCAGAGATTGAACCCATGGTGCCTGCATTTGGAGCAGAGAGTCCTAACCACGCACAGGGAGGTCCGCTCCCCCTGCCTTCTGACACCCCCTTTCAGAGCTTCCCTGGTGGCTCAGATGGTAAAGAATCCCCCTGCGATGCAGGAGACATGGATTCAATTCCTGTGTGGGGAAGATCCCTTGGAGAAGGGTATGGCAGCCCACTCCAGTATTCTTGCCTGGAGAATTTCACGGACAGAGGAGCCTAGTGGGGTACAGCCCATGGGGTCACAAACAGTTGAACACAACTGAGCTAACTAACTTCCTGCAGCTGGTGTCCAGCCTCGAAGTCGTGGGACGCGTGCAGATGCGGACACGGCGGACCTTACGGGGACACCTGGCCAAGATCTATGCCATGCACTGGGCCACCGACTCTAAGTGAGGCTTAAGAGGCCTGGGCCGGGGGCTGGGGGCGTTAGAGGGAGGCAGGAAAGGAGGGTTGGGTGACACGTGTGTCTTCTCCTCTCCCCAGGCTGTTGGTAAGCGCCTCACAAGATGGGAAACTGATCGTGTGGGACACATACACCACCAACAAGGTACCAGCCCAGCCTCTCGGCCCCGCCATTGCCCACCTTCCTGGGGGCATCCCACGCCCTTCCTGTGCCCCTGACCTGGGAGCTCAGCCCAGGCCCCTGCCACCCCACCCCTGCAGGTCCACGCCATCCCGCTGCGCTCCTCCTGGGTCATGACTTGTGCCTACGCCCCATCAGGGAACTTCGTGGCCTGTGGGGGGCTGGACAACATGTGTTCCATCTACAGCCTCAAATCCCGGGAGGGCAACGTCAAGGTCAGCCGGGAGCTGTCGGCTCACACAGGTGAGTGAGAGGCCAAGGGTACCTGTGGGTTGTGCCCGGCAGCCAGGGCCCTGTCCTAACCGCCCCCACCCCCTGACCCAGGTTATCTCTCCTGCTGCCGTTTCCTGGACGACAACAACATCGTGACCAGCTCCGGGGACACCACATGGTGAGGCCCAGGCGCCCGTGGGTGCGATGGCCGGGGAGGCGCCTCTCTGCCGGCCTCGCTGGGTGACAGCGTGTCCCCCCACCCCGCAGTGCCCTGTGGGACATCGAGACTGGGCAGCAGAAGACTGTGTTTGTGGGGCACACGGGGGACTGCATGAGCCTGGCTGTGTCCCCTGACTTCAGACTCTTCATCTCGGGGGCCTGCGATGCCAGCGCCAAGCTCTGGGACGTGCGGGAGGGGACCTGCCGGCAGACTTTCACCGGCCATGAGTCGGACATCAATGCCATCTGCGTGAGCCCCCTCTGAGCTTCAGTGCCCTCTGGGGACCCCCTCCCCACCCCCACCCCCCACTCAGCCTTCGTCCCCTCCCATGGCCCCCTGCCCCTTTCCTTTTGACTTTTCACTTTGAAATAATTTCACTCCCAGAAAAGTTGCAAGAATAACAGAAACGGTTCCCGTCTGCCCTTCACCCATAGTCACTGTCACCTTTTTGCCACATATGCTTTATGGCTCCCTCTCTGTAGGGGAAGGGAGGGAGGGATGGACAGACACAAAGACACACACCCACCTAGATGTAGGTATAGATACACTTGGTTATTAATTTTTTCCCTGGGTTCTTTGACAATAAGTTGCAGACCTCATGCCCCATTAGCCCTTCAATCCTTCAGTGTATTGGAGAAGGAAATGGCAATCCCCTCCAGTATTCTTGCCTGAAGAATCTCATGGACAGAGGAGCCTGGTGGTTTTTGGTCCCTTGGGTTGCAAAGTGTTGGACATTACTGAAGTGACTTAGCACATATACACTTCAATATATACTTTCTAAAATCAAGGCCATTCTCTTCCATAGTCACAGTCTAATTCTTTTTCTATAAATTTCTATTATTATGTTGTGATTTTTATTTTTATTTTATTGCCACACGACTTGCAGGATCTTAGTTCCCCTGTGCCCCCTGCAGTGGAAGAACAGAGTCCTAACACCCAGACCACTAGGGAATTCCTGGCAGTCTAATTCCTTAAAATCAGGAAGTTTAAATTGATGCAATACTATAATCTACAGTATGTATTCAAATTTCACCAGTTATCTCCAAAATAGCCATGTTTTCTCTGTCCACGAACATGCATCGCATTTCCTTGCCTTGTTTTTTCAATTTCTTTTAAACTGGAAACCTTTTTGGCCCTTTTCCTGTCTTTGGTGACATTGACACTCTGGACGAGTACAGGCCAGTTTTCTGTAGACTTTCCCTCCATCGGGTTATGAGACTTTCCTAAGAATGAGATTCAGTATATGCTTGTGTACTTGGCCCTGTGCTGACACGCTGATCCAGGGCCTAGAGATGCTGGCGTCTGGGACAGCCTCCACCCTTCTAACCGTGTGACCCTGGGCACGCTGCCCACCCACCCTCAGCCCCGTGCTGTCCCCTGCCGTGTGGCAGTACTGTGGAGCCAGGGAGGGTGTAGGGAGCCCGGCTGCAGGTGGCAGGCCACAGAAGGGATGAAGCAGGAGCTGGAGAGGCCGAGGGAACTGGCCTGGAGCCAGGAGAGGGCAGGAGAGGTCGAGGGCTGCCCAGGTCTGAGTCCTGACCCTCACTGCCTCCCCCTACCCCGACCACCTGTATCTGTAGTTCTTCCCCAACGGAGAGGCCATCTGCACGGGCTCAGACGATGCCTCCTGCCGCCTGTTTGACCTGCGGGCCGACCAGGAGCTGACCACCTACGCCCACGAGAGCATCATCTGCGGCATCACGTCTGTGGCCTTCTCGCTCAGTGGCCGCCTGCTCTTCGCAGGCTACGACGACTTCAACTGCAACGTGTGGGACTCCATGAAGTGCGAGCGCGTGGGTAAGAGCCTGCCCACCATGGCCACCTGGGCACCCTCTTACAGCTGCTCCCTCATTACTGGCTGACTCTGAGCTCTGCCCCTAGAGCCAGTCCCCTTGGTTCCCAGTCCAGAACCATCTCCTCTCAAAGTGAAGTTGCTCTAAGCAGCCCTTCACCATGACCCACTGCAGCTGCAGCTGCTCCCCGCCAGAGGAGCTCCTTCCGGTCACCCCCAGACCTGTGGACCCGGACTGTCCAGTCAGGTTTGGGTTTCAGGGGCCTCCACAGAAGGGAAGGGCCACCCTGGGGACTCTGCAGTGACAAGAGTCCAGGGAATGAGATGTGACTTGAGGGTCCTGACTCCAACCTGGGTGATTCTCTGGGACTGGCCTGGTCTGAAGTTGAATCAGACAGTGTGGCTTCCTCTCTCGGGAGAGGCCGGGTGCCCAGGGAGGAGAACCCTGGCCAGAGTCAGGATCCAGACCTTAATTCCACTGCTTACTGTCTGAGTGTTCTTGGCCGAGTCACTTGTCTTGGGGCCTGTCTCCATTTGGAAGCCCCCCTTCCCTGTTTTCCCAGTCAAGGTGCCCTTGCTTTTCTCTCAGCAGCTGACACATGTCCAACCCTCCCGTCCCTCACCCACCCCAGATCCTGACCCCAGATCCTGGACAGGGAGATTGGCCTCGAGGGAAACCCCGCCTCTTAGGGCTAATCCGCTTTTCTCTTTTAGTCAGATGCCCCACCCCGCCTAACCTCTAACCCCGGCTCCCTAACACCCGCCAGGCTGACTCCTCTCCCTTTATCAGGCATCCTCTCCGGCCATGACAACAGGGTCAGCTGCCTGGGGGTCACAGCTGATGGGATGGCTGTGGCCACTGGTTCCTGGGACAGCTTCCTCAAAATCTGGAACTGAGGAGGCTGGACGAGGGGATGTAAAAGACCATGAAGACACTCACTCAGCTGCCCCTCCCCTGCCCAGTTTCTTTAAGGTTTCTTCAAGCTTTTCTCTTCTACACCCCAGCTTTCCCCCTTTGAGGGCAGTGGGGAATATGGGGAGCATGCCTTTGGGAGGCAGCATCAGGGACTCATCAGGGGCGGGGGAACTGCCCCATCTCCTCCCAGGCCTCCCCGCTCCATGGTCCTGACAGCTTCTCCCTTCATGAGCAAGGACAATGGACCCCCACCCCTCCCTAACCCTAAACTTGGCAGGCCTAGCAGGCTTCGTGTCTGAGGCCGCAGGCCCTAGGATTCCTCCCCCAGAGCTACCACCTTTATCTAGACCTGGTTGGCACAGGGTGCTCGGCCCCGTGACTGTGGCTCTGACAAAACTAGGGTCCTGGCCCCCTTCTCCTCCATGCTTTCTCCTTCGTCTACCTTCTTGCCTCTCCTCAAGCGCCTGCAATAAAGTGTAGCGTCTTGTATGTGTATGATGTTTGCTTCCCACCTGCTTCTCTTCTGAAAAGACACAGGTCCCACTTAAGTAATGAAGTATTATAGGTGTGGTGATAGAGCTTGGGTACCAGATATCTGCAGGCAGAAAGGTTGGAGGCAGAAGCCCAAGCCTCACGAGCAAGGCCTGAGATGGGATGGGTGGTTGAGGTGGGGTGGGATCTGAATGACAGCTCACCACCGCTCGCCTTTGGTGCACATGAGTGTGTTTGCACAGAAAAGTTATGTTGAGAAAGAATCAGATTACAAAAGGCCTATAGAAAGCTACTCTACACCTTATCCTAAGGGCAATGGGGAAGAGTTTTGAGCAAAGTAGTAATAATCAGTGATGCTTCTTGGGAACATCGCCCTCATAGCAATGTAGGTTGATGAAATGGAGGAAGGGGGAGCCTGGAGGGAATGGAGATAAACAAGGTAGGAGGCAGCAGGCAAGAAATGTAGGACAGAATGCGGAGGGAAGGGACGGGAAAGAGACTAAAGATATAGAGTCACCAGGAGGAAGTGAACAAGAGCTAGGATATGGGATACTCAGAGGGGAAGATTTGAGATGATAGCCAAGGTAGGGTTTGGCAACCGGGTGGAGAGTGCTGTCATTCACAGGGTGAGAGGAGGAGGAGAAACTTTGGGGGAAGAACACACATTCAACTTCAGACAAGTTGACTCTGAAGTGCCTCTGAGGCAGCTGAATGAAGGTGAGGGTTAGGTACAGAGAACTGGATGTTACCAGAAATCGGGTGAAGGACAGCTGAAGCCCCAGAAGTGGGGGGAGGGGTGGTGGTGGGATGAATTGGGAGATTGGAATTGACATATATACACTAAGATCAAACCAGTCAATCCTAAAGGAAATCAACCCTGAATATTCATTGAAAGGACTGATGCTGAAGCTGAAGCTCCAATACTTTGGCCACCTGATGTGAAGAGCTGACTTACTTTCCCTGAAGCTGGGAAAGGTTGACGGTAGGAGGAAAAGGGAACGACAGAGGATGAGATGGTAGAACGGCATCGCCGACTCAATGGACATGAGTTTGAGCAAGCTCCAGGAGACAGTAAAGGACAGGGAAGCCTGGAATGCTGCAGTCCACGGGTTCGCAACGAGTCAGACTTGAGCTAGCGACCGAACAACAGCAACAAAAGCAATGTATAAAATAGGGAACTAATGAGAACCTACTGTATAGCACAGGGAACTCCACTCAGTGCTCTGTGGTGACCTAAATGGTAAGAAAATCCAAGGAAGAGGGGATATATGTATATGTATGGCTGATTCACTTGGTTTTACAGCAGAAACTGACATGGCAGTGTAAAGCAACTATACTCCCATTACCAAAAAAAAAAAAGGCCCCAGAAGTAAACATCCAGGGACAGCAAGGGGAAAGGGCCAAGGACAGCACCCTGGGGAACACTAGGATTTAGGGGAGGTGTGTAGATGAGGCTTGGAGGTACCAGCATGGGGACAGTCAGGCCAGGGAACACAAGCCCCCTCCAGGCTTTCTGCAGACAGGAGACCCAGTGCACGGTTTAGGTACAACACTTAAAAATATAGCTTAAAATCACTTGATTTAATATACAGAAATACGTCAGACACAAAGAAAACCAACGAAGCTCTGAGTCCCAGAGTTGGCAGTTTAGGGGGAGTTAAGAGAACGAGAATGAACCTTTCCAGTCTCCCAGGGCAAGAAGGGGCAGGAGGACACAGAATGGCCAGGCCCTTGGGGAGTCTGGTGCTGAAGCCATGCACGGTCTAGCTCTCCACCAAAGGAAAGTGCTGATTTTCCTTGTCAAGACCCTGGCCTTGCTCCCATGCTCGTCCTCCAGTTTTCAGAGGTCTTCCAGTTCCCAGAATGGCCCCTTCCTTTAGTTCCCTAAAGTTTTCACTCAGGGAAGGCTGCTTACCCTGCAAAAGGCATTGGGCAAGGTGAGGGAGGGCAGGAGGCTGTTCAGGGGACCGAAGACCGGGTGGGGAAAAGGCCCCTATCTTTACTCTGGGTCTCCTAGTAACAGCTTTCACCCGCTTGCCCTTTACCTGTCGTGGGGTCAGAGTCCCGGGGGAGTTGTCATCCTGCAGGATGGTGAGAGGAGACCTCCCTGGAACCTTGTTGCTTGCTTTCCGCCTGCTGCACTTAGAACCTGCGCAGGAGACACAAGAGACACGGGTTTGATCCCTGGGTTGGGACGATCCTTTGGAAGAGGGCATGCAACCCACTCCAGTATTCTTGCCTGGAGAATCCCATGGACAGAGAAGCCTAGCAGGCTACAGTCCACAGGGTCGAAGAGAGTCAGACACGACATAAGTGAATTAACACACACACACACATACGCGCACAGGCACACTTAGGACCTCAGGTGAGTAAGGAATTAAAACAAGCAGCCAAGGTTAGGGGCTTTCAGGTTATTCCTCCTCCGTCCACCTGTGGACGTTATCCCAGAGTGTTCTCCCAAGTGCTCTTCCCCATCCTGTGCCCTTAGATTCTGTACCTGAAGATCGAGGAGTCTCGGGGTCTCGTAAGGGCTTGTCTGAGCCCTGGCTGGCCACAGGTGTTTCTGAGGCATGTCCTGTTTTCTCCCTGGCAAACACCTGCTCAGCAGGGAGTTCAGTCTGGCTCCCAGGAGGCACCTGGTCTTCAAGGGAAACCTGGGTGCCCAGAGGCAAGTCCAGTCGAGGAGATGAAGGTGTCTCTCGGGGCAGAATAGCCTCGGGCGGAAGGCTTAATTTGGGGTCTTCGGTCTCAAATACATCACTCAATTGTTTCACCAGTGGACTTGGGGGCTCTGGGAAGGGGAGAAGTGATATGAGATAGTGACCATCTGTCACAAATCATTCAGCAAGGAGGAAGGCATACATGGGCCTTAGGATTCGAGCCCTGGTCAGTGAGGGATCGGGAGAAGAGGAGTCACTGAGAGACAGCAGTGTTGAGAAAAGAAGGATGTGGGTTCAAAGCAGGAGGATGACAGCATTAGGCCCAACACTTACCTCCGCTCGTCTTCATAGGTGTCCGTGCAATGCCAAGGGTAGGGGAGCGGGGATCTGAGTCCTGGGCCAGCTTAGGTTCCTCCACTTGCTCCCCTGCCAGCAGGCTTGGCTGTGGGGAGCTCTCTACCTGTCAGGACCAAAGGCTAGAACGAGTCTGGGCCCTCAACTCTCCCCTCCCAGGTCTGTAGCCTTAGATCCACACTGCAGAAGGGAATTGCAAAGGCCCTCAGACATTCAGCCTACTTCACCAGGATTGAGAATATGGAAAATAAGACCCCAAAGGCGAGGGGTACTGGGGGAAGGGAGAGTTCTCAGATTAGGCAGCGACTCCGAAACTGAGACAGATTCGCTGCCTCCTCCACGCCACCCTGTGTACCTGGATGGGAGTGCGCAGGATGCCGGCGCTGGGTGAACGGGGGTCCGCCACTCGAGACAGAAGCTTGTTGTGCGGCGGAGGCCGCGCTGGAGTGACGGGGACGCTCTTAGCTGAGCCCATCGCAACCAGCAGAAATAGGATGGGGCAGGGCCCGGCCCGGGAGAGGAGGGAATGCCTGCGAGAAATGACTCAGGTCTCAGCCCTTACGGCGACCACGTTCGACCTTTGACTCCAGACCACCCAATCTCCCCCCTGTTCCCCGCTGAGAAACTGCCTGGCCGCCGGGCCAGAGGTCTCTGCGGGGATGATGACTAATACAGTAGACAAGGCAACTCCTTCAGGGCCTGCTGGGCCCTCTAAATTATTCACTATTTATTCAAATCCCTTACCGGGCCCCAATTCCACCTCTGGGTGTAAAGCGGCTCAATCCTCAACTCCCGAAGCTGAGTTTCAAACTTCCCGCCACGCCCCTGCCCCGACCCTATTGGCTGAACCGATGCGGGCTCCTATAGGCCCTCTCTGTGAGTACCGCCTCTAATGAAGGAAGCCATTGGGCTGCGTGAACGTCTATCATGGGCCCGTGGGGCCAACAGGCAGCGGTTTGACTCGCTGGGGTGACGCCTCCTTGCTAAGGGGACTTTTGTTCCGTACCCGGCTGCAGGTTGTGAGATTTTGAGGGATGCTAATCTTCGCGTAAGAGACCTTCGGTTTCAAAATGAAGTGATTTTATTAAAAAATAGAATCATGAGTTAGTACGCTATTATTTACATATCCCGCTGGAGACGGAGTTACGAACATTTTTTTCCTAAGGCCAGAAAGATAGTAATCCTCATTGGTCGACGTAGTTAGCAATCACTCAACACTAACCCTCTCGAACCCCGCCTCATTGGACAGCCCATTTTCAAATACCAAGACTACAGCTGCCCTTTAATTTTCCCATTGGACAGGTCTCCCAGGAAAGTTTCTGGGATTGACTGGTTTAAACAACCATCGGTTTCTGCTCTTCAGTAGAAGATACGCGAATGCACTGTAAAGTCCCAGAGTCTCGGCAGCAAAACTCCTGGGCCCACCTCGCTGATCTGCGTGCGCTCTGCCCTGGAGGAGTGGGATTGGCTCTTTCGACCATCGATTGCATTAGAAGTGCTTTTCATTGGCGATGGTCAAGAGGCGGGCAGAGGGCGGAGCACTAGCGGGCAGGCTCGGTCCAACTGCCATTCTCGCGCGTCTTCCCTTCGGCGCATGCACCTAACGAGTGGTGCTCATTGGATGGAAGGGTAGGGGGGGACTAGAAGCGGTGAGAACCGCTGTGTGTGGAAGAGCTGGTGCCGGTGTCATGGCGGAGCTGAGTGAGGAGGCGCTGCTGTCAGTATTACCGACGATCCGGGTCCCCAAGGCTGGAGACCGGGTCCACAAAGACGAGTGCGCCTTCTCCTTCGACACACCGGTAAGCCCATTCCCCACGCCCGCAGCGAGCACGACTTCCATCTCCCTGGTCATTCTGCCGGGGCCTGCAAGGCTTGGGCCACCGCCTCCCTGCGGTGCACCATGGGGCTTGTAGTCTTCCACGCTACTCATGCCGTTGCTTTGAATTCGCGCGAGCTGTCGTCTGACTACCACTCCCGAAAGCAACCGCGCCCGCCCCACCCGCCCCTTGTCTCGTGGAGCACTGTGGGGATTGTAGTCGCTCACTCCCCTCACTGCCGTTCTAAACTAGAGGCTCCACCCAGTTGCCGGACTACATCTCCCACGTGGACCCCTGCGAAAGCCTGGGAGTTGGCCTTGCCTGTCGCGCATGGCTCTCCGGGTTTTGTAGTCTCATGTGGGAGGGATGGGGCGACCCCCCCCCCCCCCCCCCCGCTGTTCTGAGCCCGGGTTGGGGGTAGTAGGGTGGGGACTGCAGTTCCCAGGCGCCCAGTAGCCTGGAAGTGGCCTTGAAGAAGGCTGGTTCTGAGAAAGGCTGAGTTATAGAGCCTCCACCCATGGTTAATTTGGTCAGGGGGCGGGGAGGTGGGTCATTGGGTGGGGGTGGGGGAAGAGGAGAGGAAAGCTCTAGTCGTTTCTCCTTTGAGGTGAATCATGGCCGCAGTCCCCTTTCTTTCTCCCGTCCATCAGAGAGCGCAGAGGGAAACCTTTGGAAAGTATTTCCAGAGAGATGGTTTCTTTCTTGGGGGACACTAAGGTTTCTTTCCCATCCCACTCCCACTCCTGACTAGTTAGACAAAGTCACCACCTACACCCTGCTTCACGTTTGGCAGGCTCCACCCGGTACCTCCCTTCCTGCAGTTCTGCCTTCCTGTGACACCGTCAGGCAGACACAAGCCTCCCGCCAGGCCAGAGCCTGAACTGAGGGCAGCAGCCTGGCTGGGATCCGCCCCCCTCACCACCCCTCCCTCAAGCCGCTGTGGGCCCTGCCCAGGGTGTTCAGCCAGACCAGCTCGTGGCTGGGAAAACTGCAAGTCAGAGTGGAAAGGCTTCATTAATGCATCGCCAGTGCTGAGTATTGCAGGGTGATCTGAGGCCCATTTCAGGGTCATCACTGTGATTTGTGGGTTGCTTGGATTGCTAGGCTTTGATATGGGCCTCAGACAACGTGCTGCTTCTCTGAAGTCTGGCTTTGGCAGAACGTAAAGAGGACAGCTGCTCAGAGCAGAACTCTGGGGTTCCCAGTCCTTGGTGGGATCTTTTATTGGCAACAGAGGAGTTTAATCACTGCAGAGCTCCCACAGGCCTCCCAGTTTATCAAGTGCATGGATGGTGAAGTGCTGTCTTTCTCAGGAAGAAAAGGTTTTTTTCCCCTTAATTATCAACAGATGGTAGAAGTCTCCCTTTCTATACTCCTGTCTCTCTCCTTAGTAATGGTTTGAATAATCCAAAAGGGGTTTCGATTTCATTACACTTTTTTTTCTCTCTTCCCTGTCAAGAGGTCTCCATTGGTTGTCTTTGCTAACCAACTTCTGGCATATTTGATGATCTTTAAATTGGGTTCATGGTAGAAAGAGTTTATGTGACTTCCCTGATGAGAAATACTCTATTTGTCCATAAATTTTGTAACCTGCACAGTTCTCAGGAGTGGTACAGAGCGATCTATGGGATGGAGAACTGCCCTATTTTTAATTCCCAGCAGAGAATTTTTCAAGGCCACTGAGGCTTTAATTCCAGGAAGAAGATGCCTGTTGTTGCTTGGATCTGAGAGAAGATTCTGTTTTCTCCAGTTTCCTCCGCCCCCTTCTCCAGCACCCTCTTCACAAGGGCACTGGTAGACTCACTCAGGTTGGGGAAAGCCCATGTCCCCTCCTCTGCTGTGATTTACAGTGGACACGTCTTTTCTCTGGTTTCTTCCTGGGCTATGTGTATTCTAGCTGTCTCAGAAAGTGTTGCTAGATTGTTCCAGAAGAGGAATGGCTTTGAGGTTGGAGGCTGATGGGACTTCTTGGAGATTTGGTTATGGGGCGGGGTGGGGGGGGGGTGCATCCGGGTGGTGTCTGGAGAAGGCTGGGCTTCGTGTCCTTGCCAGACGGGGTCCTGGTTCAGCTGTGAGCCCCAAGCAGCACATGGTTCCCTTGAGCCAGCCTTTAGCAAGAAAGAGGAGACGAAACCAATGTGTTCCAGGGTTTGATCACCTGGTAGAGTGAGGTAAAGGAAAGGTCTGATCTTGCTGGCAAGCCCATGGGTTAGATGTCACGTTCAGATGCTAGTATCTCTTCTCCTCCAGTCTGGAAGGTTTGCTGAATCTTGGTGGTCAGGTGGGGTTGGTCATGGTGTTCCTGGTTTAGGTGCAGTGTCTGACATGGAGTTCTTCCCAGGTCTGTAGTAGTTGATCCCGATTCACTCTGGATCTCAAGGCTCCAGGAAGGAGATCAAGGGAGTTCTCTGCATTGACTGGAGGGCTTCAAAGAAGGAAGAGGAGTGGTGACTGACAGGCATTGCTCAGCTCAAGTGTCCTTGTTGGCCATTACCAAAGTCATAGGAGGATGGGGAGACTCTTAGCCATGTACCAGGTCCTGAAAGACTAATAGGTGACTTGCCAGAGGCCACACAGTGCTTAAGAACAAACCTTGCTTCCGGAAGCCACTCATTTCTAACCCCAGGTCTGCCTTCCCCTGGCCAAGCTTCATCCCGCCTGTGTTTCCGCCCCTGCCTCTTGTCCTGCAGGAGTCTGAGGGCGGCCTCTACATCTGCATGAACACATTCCTGGGCTTTGGAAAACAGTATGTGGAGAGACATTTTAACAAGACTGGCCAGCGAGTCTACCTGCACCTTCGGCGGACCCGGCGCCCGGTAGGCAAGACCTGCTGCCCTCAGGCTCATCCTGCTGGGCCACCAGGTTGAATCTGTCTGTCCCATCCTGACCTCTCAGGGGCCTCATTTCCGCCCCCTACCTGCTTCTGCTGGGGCCATTAAAACGCAGCACGTGTGATTTTTTTTTTAGCTCTTATCTTTTCTGAGATTAACCCACTCCATCCCCGTCCATCCATTGTCCATCTGTCCCTTCCCTGGTGCTGGGGCTGATTGTGCCCTTCCTGCCTCACTGCAGAAAGAGGAAGACGCGACCGCAGGCACTGGAGACCCTCCCCGAAAGAAACCCACCCGACTGGCCATCGGTGAGTGTCTCTTCCTTGAGCTGGTTTTTGCTGCTCTCAGAGGTGCTAGGAAAGCCCCCAAAGGAGGGGCCTGGTCAGTGGCCCTGGGACCCTGGAGGGGGCAAGGTGAAGCACTGTATCAGAGGATGGGGGTCCCTCTGCGGTGGTCATCCTACCCGCACTCCCTCCCCCATTACCCCACCCCAGCTCCTTCCTTGTCTCACCAGGTGTCGAAGGTGGTTTTGACCTCAACGAGGAGAAGTTTGAATACGACGAGGATGTAAAGATCGTCATTCTGCCGGATTACCTGGAAATAGCCCGGGATGGGCTGGGGGGACTGCCCGACATTGTGAGAGATCGGGTACAAACACCTTCCCTCCCTACTGAAGATTCTGGGGCAGGCGGGGTCAGAGCAGCGGGGTGGTGGGCAAGCTCCAGGAAAACTGAAGATGGAGGGGTGGGTGGGGCTGAGAACTGGGTCCCGCCTCTGACCTTCTGCTTCCCCCAGGTGACCAGTGCGGTGGAGGCCCTCCTGTCGGCTGACTCGGCCTCCCGCAAGCAGGAGGTGCAGGCCTGGGATGGGGAAGTGCGGCAGGTGTCTAAGCATGCCTTCAACCTCAAGCAGCTGGACAACCCTGCTCGGATCCCTCCCTGGTGAGGCCTGCCCCACCCACCCCCACCTCGGGGCGAGACCCGCAGGGCAGGGGCAAGCAGTCACCCTTCTGGGAGTCTGGAGGGAGAGATGCTCAGGAGCAGGATAAGGAGGGAGACTCGCGGGGAGCTGGACTTGGGAAGGGGACGTCCCGAGGAGACGAGAGAGGCCTTCGACCAGCGGGGGCGCTGCAGAGCCCCGTCTGTCCGTCCACCGCTCCCGTAAGCTGCTGACCTGTACTCAGCTCGTTTTCTTCCCCGGGGTCAGTGGCTGGAAGTGCTCCAAGTGCGACATGCGGGAGAACCTGTGGCTCAACCTCACGGACGGCTCCATCCTGTGTGGCCGGCGCTACTTCGATGGCAGCGGGGGCAACAACCACGCTGTGGAGCACTTCCGGGAGACGGGCTACCCGCTGGCCGTCAAGCTGGGCACCATCACCCCCGACGGAGCTGGTACACCCCGCCCCTTCCACGTGGACATCCCTGGGTCTGAACCACTACTCGTTTCACATGACACGAACAAAACATGAGTCCAATCTCCTGATAAACAATGAAAATATTGCAGATGAAACAGAACTTTCAGATAGCCCCCTGATACCCCAGTCCCCATCCTAGTGATGACCGTCATTCGCTTTTAAGTAAGAGAGTAGGTCTTCTTCCAAACTCACTTCACTCTCGAACCTCCTCCTGCTGGGTGGAGACACAACCAGTTCCAGCCCTCGTCCTGTGTCAATGCATCTTCTCTGACAGCCAATCCAAGAAGGGCTCGAGGCCTCTCTGATGCTCGAGGGAGTCAGGAGGGTTGCCCTCTGGGCTTGTCCTGCTGTCCCACCAAGGCCTCTCGGAGCAGGGGGCGGGCTCAGTGGTCGGGTGGGGCCTGAACTGCCCGCCCCCTGACACTGCTCCTGCCTCCCACACTAGATGTGTACTCGTATGACGAGGATGACATGGTCCTGGATCCCAACCTGGCCGAGCACCTGTCCCACTTCGGTATTGACATGCTGAAGATGCAGAAGGTGAGACTGCTCTCTGCTCAGATTCTCTCGTCCCTGCCCGTCAGGCCCTCCCTCCTTGCCCGAGGCTGAGGCTGAGGTAGCAAGGAGGGAAGAGATGCCACGGTGACCCCAGTTCCCAGGATTCGTGGGCTTCCTGTGAAAAGCCTTACAGAATCATTTCATCGTTCAGCGACTATTACTGAGCGCCTGTTGTGTGCTGGTCACTCTGAATGAGGCAGGGGTGGTCCTTGGCTCGTAGGCTTCTACCAGATGAGACACAGGCGTCCATTGTGTGCTTGTGCAGGTCAGGGAATAACCACCGACTGTAGGCAGAGCCGCCGGAGTTTCCAGCAGGGGCCGCCGGGCCCAGGGGACCGAGGAAGCGATGCTGGGGTGGAAATCTGAGGGTGAGAAGGGGTGGCTTCAGAATGGAGGAACACTTCAGCTAGGGGATGTCAGGTTCACTTCATCCCCTCATGTGGGCGGAGGCCTGCTGCCTGATGGGCCCCTGGAGGTTGCCTGTGGCCTTCCGGAACTTGCACCAGAGGATGCCCAGCGGGCCTCCCATGTCAGGGTCTATAATTTAGCACGTTCCAGGCTCCAGCTGGCTCTCATCCTAGACTATGTTTTAGAACATAAAAGACACAGATCTGGGGCTTCTCTGGTGGAAACAGCGGCTAAAAGCCCGTGCTTCCAGTGCAGAGGGTCCGGGTTCAATCTCTGGTCAGGGAAGTAGATTCCACATGCCCCAACTAAGACCTAGCGCAGCCAAATTAAAAAGAAAAAAAGACGCAGGTCTGAAGTGCCTCCTCCCATGCAGACGGACAAGACGATGACAGAGCTGGAGATAGACATGAACCAGCGCATTGGTGAGTGGGAGCTGATCCAGGAGTCAGCGGTGCCGCTCAAGCCGCTGTCCGGGCCCGGCTACACCGGCATCCGCAACCTGGGCAACAGCTGCTACCTCAACTCGGTGGTCCAGGTGCTCTTCAGCATCCCCGACTTCCAGAGGAAGTGAGTCCTCCCTCCCCCCGCAGCCAGCCCCCGACCCCAGGCCCTCCACCCGCAGCCGGCCCCCTGGCTCTGCCCTGACCCCCAGCCCTCTCCTAGCAGCCAGCCTCCGGGCTCCCACCTCTGGTGCCCTCAGGACCTCTGTTCTAGCTCAGTCTTGGTTCTTGGTACATTCCGGGGAGCAGGTTGTAAAGTTGCTTATACACGAGCCCACTGGTGGGGCCAGATGCTCAGTCCCAGGGCTCTCCCAGGCCTCCTGATGGATTCAAGGGCCAACAGGTGCTCTTTATTTTGGGCAGTGATATCAGATGAGCACCTAACGTGGGCATGGCGCAACTGGGGAGAGGGGAGGGCTGGGACATGGAGACAGAAGAAAGGCAAGTTAGGGTTAGGGAAGTGAGCTTCCTGTCTAAATAGGAAGGCCTGAGACACATGTGAAAATTTAGAACATATTGACAGTTCTAGGCAAAGAACATGAAGTGTATTTATCCTTCTGAGTGTCTTCTCTCACCCTGTGGCTCTGTCTCAGGGCAGAGGCTTGTGTACCTGGCATGCTGACTGGTTTGGGAAAGGAAGGGAAGGCGGGTTGCTCTAAAGACGTGGACCCCAAGTGTCAAACACATGTCTCCCCACTCTGGAGGGACCTGTTCCCTGAACGGTCCCTTCCCTTTTCCTCTGGGCCTGACCACAGCCCCTTCAGTGATCCTTCCCTTGGCTCAGGTACGTGGATAAGCTGGAAAAGATCTTCCAGAACGCCCCAACGGACCCCACCCAGGACTTCAGCACCCAGGTGTACGTAGCTGGGCCCGTGTGCCCTCTTTCTCCTCCATGACCCCCTGAAGTGAGCAACAGTGTAGCCTCTGGCCAGCTAGCCACTTTCCAATGGCTGTCTTCCAATGCTGTCTGCCTTAAGTTGGGTTCCCATGGAAACTAAGGTGGTTCCCATTTAAGAGAGTTGTCTTAGGGGGTTTGAGCAGGGGTCGAGTTGGGGAGGTAAGGGGTAGATTGGTGGTGTCAGACGGAAGCTAAATGGTTCTCTCGGGTGATGACACAGGGCCAAGCTGGGCCACGGCCTGCTCTCGGGGGAGTATTCCAAGCCAGCACCAGAGTCGGGCGATGGGGAGCAGGTCACGGAGCAGAAGGTGGGTGTGGACCTCCGTCCCTCTCAGGCTCTGGAATGGTGGGGGAACTGAGATCCATCTGGGACGTGTCTAAAGGCCACTTGGTGGCCTCTCGGGCCCCGGCTGAATGGCTGCCCCGATTCTGCCTAGGAAGTCCAAGATGGCATCGCCCCTCGGATGTTCAAGGCCCTCATTGGCAAGGGTCACCCCGAGTTCTCCACCAACCGGCAGCAGGATGCCCAGGAGTTCTTCCTGCACCTTATCAACATGGTGGAGGTGAGGACAGGGAGGCGGGGGCGATCTTCACTCTCTTTCTGCCTACCTGCACTTCGTCTCACTCCTTCTTCCCGCTGCTCACTCATTACTCCTCTGTCAGCCCCAACCCAGCCCTACCCCAGAGACCCCGAGCACTGATCCTTTCCTGAGAGTGGTGTTTGCACCTGAGGACACTTGTCAGGCTTGCAGCCTAATGAAGGATGCTCCCAAAGAAAATGATAGGCGAGCACTTAGTGCTTAGAAAGAAAGAAAGAAAGGAACTTCCCTGATGGTCCAGTGGTTACGACTTTGCCTTCCAACACAGAGGGATGCAGGATCAATCCCTGGTCGGGAACCTAGGATCCTCCAGGCCAGGAAACCAGAACCAAGCAATATTGTAACAAATTCAATAAATACTTTTTTTTTTTTAATATTTATTGACTTGGCTGTACCGGTCTTAGTTGTGGCACACGGGATCTTTGATCTTTCATGATGGCATGTGAATTCTTATTAGTTTCCACAAGTAGTATCCAGTTCCCTCACCAGGGATCGAACCTGGGCCCCCTACATTGGGGGTGTGGAGTCTTAGCCATTGGACCACCAGGGACGTCCCCAATAAAGACTTTTTTTTTAAAAGGAGGTCCACATTAAAGAAAAATAGAAAGTACAGGCACTTTCCCACATAGTCCCGCAGTGCCAGGATGGGCCGGAACTGGCGGGTTGATGAGGGAAGGTTTATCTTCTGCTCTCCCGTCCCTGCACCTCTTTGTGCCCCTCTCCTTTCCACTCCCCTCTCCCCCTGACCCCCCAGTGACTCTTGTAGGCCCCCACCCCAGTGCTTGGCTGTCTAGACCTCCCCACCCTGCCTCTTCCCCATAGAGGAATTGCCGGAGCTCCGAAAATCCTAATGAAGTGTTCCGCTTCCTTGTGGAGGAAAAGATCAAGTGCCTGGCCACAGAGAAGGTGAAGTACACCCAGCGAGTGGACTACATCATGCAGCTGCCCGTGCCTATGGATGCGGCCCTGAACAAAGGTGGGTGCTCTGCCACCCCCCAGGGCCTGGGGGCTGAAGCCTGGCAGCGATGGGGCTTGGGCGCCTTTCAGGAGCAGAGCCCGCGGTATCCCTGCTTCCCGACCAGGTGGGGGTGTGGGATTGACCTTGCCCGCAGCTGGTCAGCTGAGCTGTGCTGAGAAAGAGCTCAGGTCACAGGCAGCCGTGTGTCCACTGGGTTTGGAGAGGCAGAGGAGCTGAGGTAGCCGTGGACTCAGAGGCGGTAGGGCGGGGCTGAGGGGGGCCCCTAGCGCCCCCTCTGAAGGGTCCACCCACTGCTGCTGTCACCAGAGGAGCTTCTGGAGTATGAGGAGAAGAAGCGGCAAGCTGAAGAGGAGAAGCTGCCTCTGCCTGAGCTAGTTCGGGCCCAGGTGCCCTTCAGCTCCTGCCTGGAGGCTTACGGTGCCCCCGAGCAAGTGGACGACTTCTGGAGCACGGCCCTGCAAGCCAAGTCAGTCGCCGTCAAGTAAGTCCTGTAGGTCCCGGCCTCTGTCAGGGTCATCCCCGAGATGCTGTCAACCTCTTCCCTTTCTCTCATCCCTTTGTGGTCAGAACTCAGGCTTCCATAGGTTGAGGCAGGTAACCTGGGGCCTGAGGGGAACCGAGAGGCCCTGGCAGGAGTGGACTTGGATAACTGCTACCTGTTACCTTGACCTGCCCCTGCCAGTCTTCATCTCTCTTGGGATGGATGGGGTCACTTTTCAGGAAGCCTCTGCTCACTTCCCCAGTGCTGGCAGAGCACGGGCACTTAGGAACAGTCATGGACAGAACTGAGATTTCTAGCACATAGTCTTACTTTTTGCTAACCTGTCACTGGTGTGAACCTGAGATCTGAGAGAGTACTTTGGTCTCCGAGATTTCAGCCACCTGCCCCTTTGCTGTTCCTGCCCCTAAGACCCGCCCCCCCCACCCCCATTCCCCTACTTCCTACCGTCTGCTGCTGTTCGTCTGCAGACACTCTTGATGCCTGTCCAGGTCAGGAAAGGAATATAAATTATCTTCAGGGCGGTTAGTTCTTCTATCTATGAGAGGCTGGACCTGGGTGGGGCTTTCAGGACAGCTTCTCTGGGTACTAGGCCATTCTCTATTCCCTAGGACCACACGATTTGCCTCGTTCCCTGACTACCTGGTCATCCAGATCAAGAAGTTCACCTTCGGCTTGGACTGGGTGCCAAAGAAACTGGGTATGGCGGCCTGGACAAGCAAGGGAGGCTAAGCAGAAAATGCTAGAAAAAGAAGGGGCCTTGACATGTAAACTAGTGCTTCTTCAGCTTTCCTCTGAAAGGGGAAACATTATTAAGACTTCTTTGATTTAAAAAAACTTTTTAACTACCTTTTTTAATTGACGTATCATTGACTTACAACATGGTGTTAATTACTGCTATAGAGCAGAGCGATTCAGTTATGTTAAATACATATATATTCCTTTTTAAATTTTTTTGTTACAGTTTATCATAGGATATTGAGTATAGTGTGCTGTGCTATACAGTAGGACGTTGTTGTTTAAGACTTCTTTGATTTTATAGTTATGACTTACACAAGCAAAAGTGGTTTTCATAGTTCTACTTTTATACAGTTGGTAAGATGTTTTCATTTTGATAATCTTGAAACAGTTTGTTTCCACGGGTCTCACAGGACCCTGGCGACTTTGCAAACCCCAGAACTAGCTTCATTTCCTAGAGAAGTTGAGCCCCACGGAAGTACAGAATCGTTCCGTGGCACAGTCAGAGACCCCTCCCTGGCTCGTGGCTCATTGGTGGTAGATCTAAGACCGGAATCCTGTTCACTTGCCCCCCCACCCCCACCCAGCCTGTGGTTATTTTTATCACACGGTGATGAGTCCCTACAATGGGTCCTGCTCTGCGCATCATTACAGAGCAAGATGGGAGCAGGGGCCTGAGATTCCCAGAGTGCTCTTCCCAGGAGGGCCTCGGGGATCTGCCGAGGTGAACTTTGTCCTGCCGTACGCTTTCTAGACGTGTCCATCGAGATGCCCGAGGAGCTAGACATCTCCCAGCTGAGGGGCACAGGGCTGCAGCCTGGAGAGGAGGAGCTGCCCGACATTGCCCCACCCCTGGTCACTCCGGATGAGCCCAAAGGTAGCCTTGGTTTCTATGGCAACGAAGACGAAGACTCCTTCTGCTCCCCTCACTTCTCCTCTCCGACATGTTAGTGACTCTTCTTCCTGCCTGTCTCTTTCCCTTGCTGATGGGGGTCTTCTCTGCCTGCCACCCCTTGGCCCTGTCCTTTGTGCTCCTCCTGTCCTCCCTTTCAAATTGTCTCTGCCCTCCTGATGGACGTGAGGACTGAGAGAACACCCCAGCCGCGTTCTCTGTGTGGGTGGATCAGTGCTGGCTAATTGCCTCTGTCCCTGTAACCTCGTGGGCTGGGGGCAGGGGCGGGGGCTCATACTCCAGAAACAACCTGTTGTGGGAGAATGAACAGGGAAGGGGTGCCCTGGAGTACCTCTGGCCTCAGTTCTGCAGACCTTGAGGATAGTGCCAGCCCCACATGAGGTTGTGTTGCCATTTTAGTTCTGGAATAAGGTGCCAGGCCGTGGAGGAAAAAATGCATGGAATGGGTGGTTGGGAGAGGGCTGGGGGGGGGCTGTTGGGGATGGGCAGGGAGTGGCCCAAGGAGTCAGGCCCCTGTGCCCATGCTTTTCCCCCCGCAGCGCCCATGTTGGATGAGTCAGTCATCATCCAGCTAGTGGAGATGGGCTTCCCCATGGATGCCTGCCGCAAAGCTGTCTACTACACGGGCAACAGCGGGGCCGAGGCCGCCATGAACTGGGTCATGTCACACATGGACGACCCGGGTAGGCAGGGCTGGGGAGCTGGAGCGGGGGAGAGGGGTGGCAGGCAGGGCCAGCATCTCCCCCAAACACTTGAACCCCTTCCATCCCCAGATTTTGCAAACCCCCTCATCCTGCCTGGCTCCAGTGGGCCCGGCTCCACGAGTGCAGCCACTGACCCCCCACCGGAGGACTGTGTGACCACCATCGTCTCCATGGGCTTCTCCCGGGACCAGGCCTTGAAAGCCCTTCGGGCCACGGTATGGGCGCCCCCCCAGCTGAGGACAGGTCCGCTGGGAAGATGAGGGCGGGAGTGAGGTTTCACCCCTCAGGAGCAAGTGAGGACTACCCCTGTGGTTTGGCCAGTCTGGGGCTCCACCCTTGAGTGGCTGTGATGAAGGAGCAGAGGCTTTCACTGGGGGTTTCTCAACTCTGACCTTGCTTTTTAAAAAAGTAACACTTCCTCCTTCCCAAGAACAACAGTTTAGAACGGGCTGTGGACTGGATCTTCAGTCACATTGACGACCTGGATGCAGAAGCTGCCATGGACATCTCGGAGGGCCGCTCAGCTGCCGACTCCATCTCCGAGTCCATACCAGTGGGACCTAAAGTCCGGGATGGTCCTGGAAGTGAGTGTCGCTGGGAGAATATAGCCAGTCTGCTCCACTAGGTCTTCACCACCAGGCGGCTCTGCTTCCCTCGGAAGGGTGGAGTCAGAAGTTTCATGGACGTGACTCCTGAAGCTGGGGTCTGGGAGGCTGAGATAGACTTGGCCCCAGCCTGTCTGCCATCTCTAAAATCCCACCCTGGGCATGAGCTGCTGGACACATCCCCCTCCCTCACTGCTCTACCCTCTCTCCCCTACCCTAGAGTATCAGCTCTTTGCCTTCATTAGTCACATGGGCACCTCGACCATGTGTGGTCACTACGTCTGCCACATCAAGAAGGAAGGCAGGTGAGGGGCCAGCATGTGCCTTCTGCATGGGGGAGGGGTGGTGGGAATGGGTAGGGGCATCCTAGAAGACCCTAGAATATTCCTGGGTGGCAGGGGAACATAGGGAACTGCTGGTGCAGGCCACAATTCACCAGAAATTGATAGAAAGCCTGAGGGCAGAGATGGGCAAACTAGGGCTCCAGGACTGAATTGGGCCACTCGCTTTTATAAATAGTTTTAACGACCATGGCCACATTCATTTATGTATCATCTGTGGCTATTTTCACGCTGCAGCAGGCAAGTTGCATAGCTGCATAGTTGCATAGACCAGATGGCCTGCAAAACCTGAAATATTTCCTGTCTGGCCTTGACAAAGCTTGCTGACCTCTACCTAAAAGGAATAGGTGGGGGTGGGCTGTAAAGACAGCACAGGGGTCCAAAGACACAGAGGAAAAACGACCCTGTGAGATGGGACACTCCCTTCAGGCAGGAGGCAGCTGGGCTGAGTTTGGGGGCCCAGGCAGAGAAGGTTGCAAGCCTTTGCCCCCGAACCACCAGGGTCAAGTCCAGGGACCACGTCAGAAAGACAGACTTGAGGATGCCCGGGTCGTTCACCCTTCTCCCACCCCATTCCCCAGGTGGGTGATCTACAACGACCAGAAAGTGTGTGCCTCTGAGAAGCCGCCCAAGGACCTAGGCTACATCTACTTCTACCAGAGAGTGGCCAGCTAAGAGCCTGTCCTGAGGGCGCCCCGGGGACAGACCACCCAGCATGAGGAATGGGGCTGAGGGATGGACGCCTCCCTGCTCGGTACCCCTTTTCTTTTCGTCCCCAGCAGCAGGGAAGAAGCTAGAGGCCAGGACAGACTGGCCAGGCAAGGCGTAGGGTGGGGGGGCCTCCGGGGAGACTTTGGGAATGGAGTCGGAGGGGGCGGGAGGGGCCGGCCGCCTGTCTGTGAGGAGACTTGCTTCCCTGCCCTTGACCCCACAGCGCTCTGCTTCTCTGTGATCCCGCCCGCCCGGTGTGGAGCGGGCTTGTTCGTGTGTGTGCGTGGGTGTGGGTGGGGGTGTTTGTGTGTGTAGCGTGGGTGTAGCTCTGTGCCGCCTCCTCCACCGAGGGGGCTTCTGTGCCTCCCCTCCCCCTTTGTGTGTGCTCCCCGTGTGGCGGGGCCAGGAGGGATGTGAGGGAAATGGGGAGCCAGCCCCCCCCTCGCCCTCCTGCCTCAGTCTTCCCACCCCCCCCCCCCCCCCCCCCCGTCTCTCCCCGTCCTTCTCTGGAAAATGCCAAAATACAGGATGTGAATAAAAGTACAGTGGCTCAAGCGTGTCCTGTTTGATATCTCGGGGGAGACTGCCTTTCCTGGGTTAGCAGGGGGGTCAGGTTTTGAGAACTGTGGGCCCTGCTCCTCCATGCTGCTCTGTGCCCCCTCTGGCCCCCCTGGCAGGCAATTCTATATTTTTTACTTCTATACATTTTACTGCTCTTGGGAAATTGGCGGCTGAGTGAGGTGCTCACGGGGGCAGGAGAGGGAGGCTGACGGGTGGGGGCTGTCAGATGCAGGGAAGTGGAAGAAGGTCACATGAGAGGGGGCCCAAGTGGGTTCTTCTCGAGTGTCCCCAGGTGCCTGGTGGGGAGCCCCGGGCACCAGGCCTTGCAGTCCCTTGTCTGGCACTGGCAGCTGGAGCAAAAAGTGACGTACTCCTGGAGGCAGGGCAGACCTCTGAACTGCCTCTTTAGTAGTTAAACGGTGTTCAGCCCATGTGGGGCGTCCCTCCGCCTGTGAACCCTGTTACTTGACCAGTTAACTGTGGGGCTGGGCTGGCCCTGGGTAGGTCAAAGGTGCCTGCTCAGCAGTCAGGGATGAGGCCTCTCCGTGGGGGCAGGGAGGGTTCCATTTCCCGGAGTTGGAAAGATGCCTCTCACGGCTCTGAGGCCAAGCCTAGGGGTGGAATGGAGTGTCCACCAGGCGTTCAGCCAGCCAGCGAGCGCCCCTGGGGATCCTTCTAGCCCTCTGGGGGGCCGGGGGGCTGCAGCCGTGAAGCAGGGGTTCCCCTGAACGCGGGGCGCACAGTTCGCGCCTTCTCCCCAAAGTCAGGCAATTCAAGCTGAAAGCGACCCAAGCGAGCCCGCGACAGCGGTGGAACGTTGCTACAAGAAAGGGTAACGTCAGAACCTAGCAACGCGGGCGGCGGGCGGGATCGGGGGCAGGGCGGTGGCGGGCGGCAGGCGGGGCCGGGGGCAGGGCTCCCGCGGGCCCGGCCAGCCATGGACGAGGACGCAGAGGGGGCGGGTTTCTGCATCTCGGCGCTCTATATAAGCGGCCAGTGGAAGCGGGGGCGCGCTGCTCCTGACCTTCAGCGTGCCTGCTCTTCAGCAATGGCGCCCTCCAGGAAGTTCTTCGTGGGGGGGAACTGGAAGATGAACGGGAGGAAGAACAACTTGGGGGAACTCATCAACACTCTGAACGCGGCCAAGGTGCCGGCCGACACCGGTGAGCCCTGGCTGGGGAGAGCCGGGGTGGGCGGTCGGGCGTGGTCGCCCTCTTCGGCACTGTCTTAGCCCGGGTCCGCATGGCCCTGGGGTCCAGGGCTGTCGGGATCCGGGCCTGAGCTCCGCGGCCGCTGAACTGGGGGTGTGTCGGCGGGGAAAGGCGGGGCCGCATCTCATGGTGCCCTCTGGCTGTGGGTCGTGGAGGATAGTGGCCCCGGGGCGCAGACGGGGCCTGCACGGGCCGGGTGTGAAAGGTGAGCCCAGCCCCTGCGGGCGATCGGGAGAGGCCGGCTGCTGCCCGGTGAGTGGGGGTGGAGGCTGCGTGCAGGCTCCGGCTGCCCCCTGGGCGCGGGCTCCGTGCGCCGCCGCACGTAGCCCGCCGGAGACTCCTCCCCGCGCCTTGCTGGGTCGGCAGAGCTCCCCTACCGAGCCGCGTCGGCCTACTGAGCTAACGCTCTGATCCAGTCCGCTCATAGGCCTGTAGGACTCCGGCCTTCCGCGGAAAGGGGCAGAGCCATTTGGGAATGAGGCGCTCTCCTACCGTTTTCTCCAGCCTAAAAACTGGAAAGCGCAAGGCCTCTATGAGCTGGTCGACTCGCTGCCACCCACGGCCTGCGTCCTTGTCCCCTCACCCACCTGTCACAGAACCTCGGGGCTGATCGAGAGGCATCCTCTTGTGGTTTATTCTCCCAGAGATCCCAGTACAAACCCCAGGAGTTGGCTCCTTCTGCTTTTGCTGAAAATCCTGGCCTGGCCTAGGGGAGGTGGGGATGGGCTATTTTAGAAGGGAGGCGGGGTTGGCCCCCAGAGAATGCTGAGTCTAAGAGGTGCCCAGGCCCAGAATAGCCTGGGGAAATCAGAGCCACAGCTGCTAAAGAGCAGAGGGCAGGGCAAGGGCCATGGCCTCTCAGGGGTACCTGGGAGGCTCAAAGACTTGGGTACAGGCCCAGCCTGGGCTGCAAAGTGGACAGAGATGATCGTGCTGGGGTGAAAAAGGGCAAAAGCAGAACTAAGAAAGTGGTGAAGGCGAGGGGACTCTGGAGCACGGGATGGGGTCTGGGGAATGAAAATTTTCCTGTGATCTCATCCCGTCTGTCACATCTCATCCTCAGAGGTGGTTTGCGCACCCCCCACTGCCTACATTGACTTCGCCAGGCAGAAGCTAGACCCCAAGATTGCAGTGGCTGCACAGAACTGTTACAAAGTGGCCAATGGGGCCTTTACGGGGGAGATTAGGTAAGATGCTGGTGGCCAAGGGGTGAGAGGGGGACCCCCAGCCCTCACTGTCCTCATGGAGGGGACAGCGACAGGGTGGGCTCCCTGCTGAACCACGGCTTTACTCTTCCTTTAGCCCTGGCATGATCAAAGATCTTGGAGCCACGTGGGTAGTCCTGGGGCACTCTGAGAGAAGGCACGTCTTTGGGGAGTCAGATGAGGTTAGTAATGGGGGGAGGAGATGAGGGCTGGCTTGTTCCTAGACGGGTGCTCACCAAGTCTGTTCCTCAATAGCTGATTGGACAGAAAGTGGCCCATGCCCTGGCAGAGGGACTTGGAGTGATCGCCTGCATTGGGGAGAAGTTAGATGAGAGGGAAGCTGGCATCACTGAGAAGGTCGTTTTCGAGCAAACCAAGGTCATCGCAGGTATCTCTGGAGAAAGGGGCCCTTGAGCCTAGCCAGGGCTGTGAGACACAGAGGGTGGGGTCGGATGCCCTGCAGCCTGAGCCTATCTGGTGCTGATACAGGAAAGGGGAGGGTGGGAATCCTGTATCCTTCGGATTACCTCTACTCCTGCCTCTAATGTCACTTTCCTTTAATAGCCACCAGGGGGCAGTAGGCCACCAGCACTCATTCTCTGGGAAACAACTGGTTATGTTCTTCCTTGTTTTCACCCTGCCACCTGTGATCTCTGTCCCACAGATAATGTGAAGGATTGGAGCAAGGTTGTCTTGGCCTACGAGCCTGTGTGGGCCATTGGTACTGGCAAGACGGCAACACCCCAACAGGTAACCAAGCCCAGGAGCCCTGTCCTCATCCTCCCCTGTCTTGATAGAAGTCGATGGCCACAGAGATCACCTGGGCCAACCCCTCATTTAAAAGACAGGAGAGGGACTTCCCTGGAGATTAAGCCTCCACTCCACTGGTTTGACCCTAGTCAGGGAACTAAGATCTCGAATGCTACATGTCAGTCCTGCATGCTACACGTCAAGACTAAATAAATAATAAAAAAAAAGAGAGTTACTTGTCCCAGGATACCCATTCCAGGGCCTGGGTAGGATCGAAGCCCCAGGGTTCTTGCCCGCAAACCACATTGCCTGTTTCCACTGGAGCCCAGGGTTTTTTCCCCAGTGAGTGAAGGTCTTAGTCTGGCTTCTTGTTCTAGGCCCAGGAAGTACACGAAAAGCTCCGGGGATGGCTTAAGTCCAACGTCTCTGATGCAGTGGCTCAGAGCGCCCGCATCATTTATGGGGGTAAGTGGGTTTGGCTCCAGCCTGAGGTGGGGTGGGCTAAGAACCAGACCGAGCCCTCCTTCAACCTGGAGGATGGGCGTGGAGTACCCCCATCTCATCGCTGACCACTCCCGCTCTCGTCTCCCTTCCCAGGTTCTGTGACTGGGGCAACCTGCAAGGAGCTGGCAAGCCAGCCTGATGTGGATGGCTTCCTTGTGGGTGGTGCTTCCCTCAAGCCCGAGTTCGTCGACATCATCAATGCCAAACAATAAGCCCTGTCCATCTCCGCTACCCTTCCTGCCGAGCCAGGGACTAGGTAGCTCAGAAGCCCAGTAACTACTGCCCCCGACCTCCACACATGCTTCTTGTGATGTCGCCTGACCCCTCTCATGGCCGAATCCAAAGTATCTCTTCCTTTATCGTTTACACCCTACCTTGTCATGGTTGGGACCAGAACAATCCCGCCAAGGTGGCTAAACCTGTCGCCAAGGTGGCTGCTTCTTGGCTGAGAGGTGGGAGGGTGGGTTGCTCGTGGGTTCCCTCAGTCCCCAGTGAAGACAGGAGAGAGAACCGGTCCTGTCCCGTCTCCCGCCACGAGGCCAAGGGCTGAGAGAAAGCCCTGTCCTCCGCTGAGGCCAGGGTGCTGCTCCCTCCCACGGTGCCAACGCCTGTGTGTGTTGTGTCTGAGCAGTCCCGCGTGTGGGGGAATAAACACCTGGCACTGAGCCCTGTGGTGTATTCCTCTTCACTGAACTTGCCCCCATCATCTCTTCGGCTTTCTTGCGGCAGCCGGGGGACCCTTGTGCCCCAAAATACCACAGACCAGTTTCTACAGCAGCACATCTCTTATAATTTTTACTTGCAAAAATGTCTTGCGTACCAGGCTGCCACAGCCTTGACTAACAGCTCCGTCCCTTCCACCCTCTGGGTGGTGGCTCCGGAGCGGTGGCACTCAGACCTGAGGTGGGGTGCGGGTGGAACCCAGCCTCGCCTGCCCCCAGCCCTGGCGGTAGGTTGCCAGTCTCGGCCAGCAGTGCCTCCTGCCCCCGAGGGGTGAGTCAAGGTCCCAGGGCCACGTGTGGTTCCCCCGTTGTCACTGGTAGAGCAGGTAGCGCTTCAGGGCAGGGGGCAGGGGCAGGGCAGAAACGTGGCCTAGCCCGGTGTCCCCCAGGGCGTGGCGCACGCTCAGGCGGCTCAGGTGCAGAAGGGAGTGTGGTTCTGCTGGGGGAGAGAAGGAGGGAAGGTGAGTAGGGGTGCAGCCTCCAGCCAGAAGTCCTCAAACCACGGGGTCCTGCCTGGGCTCCCTCTGTTCTCTGCCTGCAAGTCCACTCCCACCACAGTTGAGCAGGAGGCCTAAGGTGCCCTGAAGTTCTGTATCTGCTCTGGGGGAGGCATCACAGATCTCACGCATCCCCAGTCAGAGCTGGGGTGATGCCCTAAGGCCCTCTAAGCAAGGGGCCAAGGCGGCTCTGACAGTGGGGTTGGCCCAGGCTTTGAATCCAGAGAGGCCTTGGCACTGGGGTTGGTGAAAAAGGCCCTCTTCACTACAATAGTTCCCATGGGCCACAGTGGGGAGAGGCAGCCACCCTCTGCTGAAGACTTTGCAACTGCAGAAAGGCCTGGCTCCCTAAGGAGGCCCCTGCCCACAGCCCCACCCCAAGGCCTGCCTCCTTCACTGCTCTCCTTCCAGGTGCCCCAGCCTCAATGGCTCCTTCTTGGGGTTTGACTGAGGAAGGAAGTAGGTATGTGTCACAGAGTCAGAGCCCAGAGAGCTGGGTACACGCCCTGGGCACCGCAGGTCCTCTTCCTCCTAGAGTTGGACTCCTAGCCCAGGGCAGATTTTAACCCTTTGCACCTCTTCCAGGGGCTGAGCTCTCCTGGGAAGCCCTAATCCCTGGGGTGTGTCCCTCCATTCTGTGGACTCACCACCTAATAGCAAGTTGCTTTCCCAACTTTTACTTACTTTTACCTCTAGGACTGTTAGGAAGATGAACTTAGGTAACAGCTGTGAAGTCCCTTAGCCATTCCTGACACTGAACTGGGTAGAAGATCAGTCAGATGATGGCCCATTCCCTCTGTGGTTGTAAGGTGCTGAGCATCCATTCCAAACCACATCCACCAGGGGCCGAACACTCGCCCCACACCCGTCCCAGGCCTCACCTCTCCTTTCGCCCAGGTAGTTGATGCGGACCTGGCACTGGCCCCAGACCGCGCTTACTGCTGGATAGAGGGTCCTGCCCTTCAGTCCGCGGAACGCCGGCCCCAGGTAGGTGCCCCCGACAGCGTAGCCCAGAGTTCCCTCCTCCATGTCCAGTACCACCAGCAGCCTCTCTGGCACCTCCAGCGGCTCACCCTGAGGTCCGGGTGGATACTGAGGGGCCCCAGGCCCCTTGCTCTGATGGTACAGTTTCCCCCGCCCAATGTCCCAGCCCCACGACTCGCTGTTGCTGCCCAGCAGTGCCGCGTAGTGGTCAGCCTGCAGCGGGGCGTGGGCTGTGGCCACGCCCACCACAGCGTGGGTGCCCCTCTGTTCCCGGGGCCAGCTGATTTCCCAGGCGTGCAGGCCCCTCGAGTAGCCCCTCTTCCCTCGAGCCCCATCAGTGCTCTGGGCCACGGGCCGCCGCTCAAAGCACAAGCCCCCTTCCTTGACCTCGATGTTCTCCGAGCAGTCCTTAGGGTTCCAGCCGTGGCGCCGCTGGGCCCCCAGGTCAGGAGGGGGAGCAGACAGCAGCTCCTCCAAGCCTTCGGGACGAGACCGGTCAGGGTACAGGGCCTGTGGGATAGAGGGGACGCTGCTGCCCCCTGCCAAGGCCGTCTGGCCCATGGGAGGTGAGGAGCTGGACGATTCCCCGAGAGAGGTTTGCTGCGGCGTCTCTTCTGAAAGTTGAGCTCCAGGTCGGGATCGACCTAGAGAGAATTCGGGAGAGAAGAGGGTGTGAACCGAGGGATCCTGGAGGGGACTCGTCACTCAGGTTCGCACCCATCCTTGTCCCCAGGTTTGCTCACCGCCCCACTCCTCCCTCTTCGCTCCCCCCGAAGCTCCCAGGCCCATCATTACCTTGCCCTCACCCACCTGTCCGGGTCTCTCGAGACTCGCGAGTTCGCCGCCTTTGGGCCTGCCCAGGGACCGTCCCCTTCGCCCGCTTAGTGCCCCTGTCACCGCCCCCGAACCTTGCCCGGCTTCGGGTGCCCGGAGGTCGCCGGCCCTCCGGAGGAGCTGAGCCGAAAGTTACCGAACCCGGCGCTTCCGCCTCCGGCCCCGCCCCCAGACCGCGCCCCGCCCCAGGCCCCGCCCACAAAGCCCTACGGGGCGGTTAACCCTCTCTCCACTGTGCCAGATCGAGTCGTGCCCCGAGGCCACGCCCCCGGGGGCCCCTAGAGGGTAGTTAACACTTGGCTGGGGCGGGGCCCGTGGTGTGTAGAGGCCACTCACGGTCAGTTAACCTCTGGGCAGCGTGCAGGCCGCCCCCGAGGCGGTCTGCCCAGCGCTTAACCCATTCTTGGCCACTAGGGAGTCCTCCCCTGGCAGCCCAAGCTCAGAATTAACCCTTTCATGGTATCGTCACTTTGAGGTCCCTAAAAATCTGTTCTTCAAAAACTTTGAGTCGCCTGGGCAACCAGCTCCTGAGCCCCTCGGGATACGGGACACGAGGTCAAGGAAGGACCTCCATTGTGGTGCCATCTATTTCCGAGTGCTGCTGATTCTAGGTCATGTTACTAGGCTGATCTTTTTCTGACCTGGTGTGTGAGTCAGCCGGCTGTAAGCCTGGGGTTCTGAGTTTCTGGCTCTGAGTGGCAGATGTCAGAGGTCTGCATGCATCACCCTACACATGAATCCACTGCTGAGCTAATGGCCTCATCTAGTAGTGTAGTGATTAAGACCTTGCTTGTGTGTGAAGCTACTGCTCTAATTAGCTCTATGACCTTGGAGAGGTTGCCAAACTTCTCCAGAGCTGTTTTCTCTTATGTGATATGGGAATAATGATGGTGCTTACTTCACAGCGTTGAGATAATCCAGGCAAAGTCTGCTAGTAGTATGCACTCAACTAAGCATAGCTATTTCTGTTTCCATAACATTTACTAAGGGCCCATTTTATCTTTTTAGAAATGTTTATTTGACTGTGTCAGGCCTTAGATGCATTATGAGGAATCTTTCACTGCACTGCACAGATTCTCTAGTTGCATCGCACGGGCTTACCTGCTCTGAGACATGTGGGATATTAGTTCCCTAACTAGGGATTGGACCTGTGTCTCTTGCATTGCAAGGCTGATTCTTAACCACTGGGCCACCAGGGAAGTCCCAAGTGCCCATTTTATAGCGATGCAATATCCGTGGCTCAGCAGTAAATAACTTCCCAATGAGGGAGACACTGATCTGATCCCTGAATTGGGAAGATTCCCTGTAGGAGGAAATGGCAACCCACTCCAGTGTTCTTGCCAGGGAAATCCCCATGGACAGAGGCACCTGGAGGGCTACCATCCATGGGATCGCAAAGAGTTGGACACAACTGAGTGACTTAGCACAATATAAGATAGTGGCAATACCTGCTGTGGAGCCAGGCTGACTGGATGTGAATGCCTGAAGGCTGGTAGTCAGGGGACCTTGGGCCAATACTAACTTCCTCATGCCTGTTTCTCTCTCTGTAAAATGGAGATACTATTGATTTATCTACTGCATAGGCTCTAGCGAGGATTCAGAGGTTATTCAGTAAAGCACTTACAACAGTTTCTGGTTCAAATTTAATCATGTGTGCTGAGCACTAAGGACTAAGCATTGAATCCTCAAGGAAGTTACAAGAACATTTATAAAACAGTTTATCATGTGTTAGATAAAATTCTGGGTATCTAGAAGGTACTAGGGGAGTAAAAAGGCTAGGACTGCTAACCAGGGATCAAGCAGTTCAGAAAGGAAAGTGTCAGATGACAGTGGACTGAATCTTTAAGAATGACAGGAGGAGATTTCCCTGACTGTCCAGTGGTTAAGACTTCATGCATCCACTGCAGGGAGCACAGATTCGATCTCCGGTCAGGGAACTAAGATCCCTCATGCCACACAGTATGGCCAAAAAAGAAAAAAAAAAATGACAAGGAATTTATCTGACAAGTGGTTCTGCAGGACAGAGATTGGATTAGAATCACTGCATGAAGAAGACATTGAGACTGAGCTGTCAACATAAAAACAACAACAACAAAAAACACAACTTCCCTGGTGGTACAGTGCATAAGACTCTCCCTGCCAATGCAGGGCATATGGGTTCCATCTCAGGTCCTGGAAGATTTCACATGCCATGGAGCAACTAAGCCCATGTGTCACAACTACAGAGGCCCACATGCCTACAGCCTGTGCTCCACAACAAGAGCAGCCACTGCAATGAGGAACCCGTGCACCGTAATGAAGACCCAGTGCAACCAAAAAAAAAAAAAAACCAGAACAAAACAGAAGCAGTAGCACTTGGAAGACTTTAGGGTGGCTGTAGCAAGAACGGAAGCTTGAGACACAAGCCTAGGGAAGTGGGTGTGAGATCAGAAGGCCTAAGAATGCAAACGTTACATGGTAGGACAGATGGGTAATGGGGAGCCACATAAGAAAGAAACTGGGGAGGAACATGGTGGAAAACTTTTAGAAAGATCACCCTGGCAGCAATGGAAAGCAGGATTCAAGGGAAGTAGATGGGAGCACGGAGATTCTCACCAGTGGCCCAGGTGAGAAAGTGTTGAGAGCCTGGAATAGGGCGGTTGAAATAAGGATGAAAAGAATTCAAGAAACACTGATGAAACGGCAAGATCTGGTGACTGATTAGATGCTAAGGCCAGGAGGAGGAAAGAGAGAAAGGAAGGTTTCCTTTTTTCATTTTGACCGCATGGGCGGGGCTTCTCTTGTGGAGCATCAGCTCTAGAGCTTGTGGGCTCAGTGTTAGGGTCCACAAGGGGCTTATAGGGTATAGTTTAAAAATGGCCCATTGTGGTGACCTGACAAACAAGGGATGAAGTCACAGTGGCCAGGTTGCCCTGGTGGCATCCTATTTTTCCCTGGTGGCATCCTATTTTCCCCTTAAGGCGAGATCCTGTTTTTCCCTGTTGGTGCCAGTTTCTCAAGACTACGTGACCACCCAACTGTGAGAGCCCTCAGACTATGTGATCCCAAGACCCCAGCTGTGGGCTAAAGATAATCTAAGGCCCCCTGCCTTCAGGGCACAATTTCCCACCATAAGAAGGTTGGCTGTAAAGGGAGGGCACTGGTTCCTCTCTAAAGCCAGTCATTTTCTCTCTTCTATAATAAATCTCCCTCTGCCTGAATGCCCAGGTTGCTCTCTTTTTCTCCACGCTCTCCTTACACTCAGTAGTTGTGGTGCTAGAATTTTGTTGCCCTGAGGCATGTGGGATCTTAGTTCCCAGACCAGGGGAACCCGTTTCCCCTTCATCGCAAGATGGATACTTAACCACTACACCACCAGGAAAATCCAAAAGGGAGGTTTCTAGCCGGGAAGACTTTGTTAGAAGGTGGTACTACAAGTGAAGGTGGAGACGACAGAAAGAGGAGCTGTTGGGGACAGGGGCAGGAGGGTGGGAGAAAGAGGTGGTGGATTCACTTTAGGACATGTTTTTGAGGTGCTGGAACAACTCAGTGGAACTATCCAGAACATGCTTGACAATGGCAGGTCTGGAAAAGAAAAAGAAAATGGCAGGCCTGGGGATGGGGGTTAAGGTAGTGAGAAGCCTGGACTAGAGATATAAATTTGGGAAGTGTGTCAGCCAGGAGTTGAACTCCGAGAATCAAGAGGGGCCCTCGAGAGAGTGTACAGAGTAAGAAGACAAGGAGGACACAGCACAGCAGACAATTCAAGTCTGATTACAAACACAATTTTTTTGGTCATTGGCACCTTCAGTGAGAGAGCACATGTGTGTTGTAGGAGGTGGGAGTCCAGGCTGAAGGTACTTCCTGTATGTCAGACACTGTGCTACATGATTCACATTTTTAGGAAATAGAGAAGGAAAGGACCAATTACATCTCATAGTTAAAATTACCCTTGAAAATCCCTTACTTACTCCATCTATTAGGTACAGCAGATGTTGTTCAGTCACTAAGTTGCTAAGTTGTATCAGACTCTTTGCAAGCATGTTAGCTTCATGTAAAATACAATACAGGGCAGTACACATACAATGATGTACAGAATATAATTTTCTTTTCTCTTCTTTCTATGCCACACCCCATGTGGGCCCTTTGTTCTACAAGGGATCAAACCCACACCCCCTGCACTAGAAGCATGAAGTCTTCACCACTGGACCATCAGGGAAGTCCTTTATATTATTATAATTAAAGAGAAAGAACACATATTAAAAAGAAAGATCCCACATGATGCAATAGAGATCCAGTATGCTTCAATTAAGATGACGCTGCCAAATAAATATTTAAAAAAAGAAGAAAAAGAAAAAATTATAAAGAGAAAGAAAGAAAAAGAAAGATGTGAACCTGAACACTTGTCATCCACCCAACCTGGGTATTCTTGCCAGTGTGACAACAAAAATAAAGACACGTCTTCGCGGACAGATACCAAGCCTAATCCAAGGCCAACTCTAGCTCAGTTTGAGAAGCTGCACCTGTTCAGCTGTTGGTAGTTTTAATGCTTCTTCGCCAGTTGTGCCCACTGACTCTTGAACTGCTCAATTTGCTGGTAATAGCTCAAATATCCCACAGTGCTACAAGTAATTTTAACTTTTTTTTTTTACTAAAATGTAACATATACAAAGTACACTAACCTGAAACCACTCAGGGAATTTTACATATTTATATATAGCAAAAACATGAAAATGTCCAGCATTCCA